TCCTCCTCCTCCTCCTCCTCCTCCTCCTCCCCATCCTCATCCTCCTCCTCATCATCCTCTCCGGCTTACACACCACGCTGATGCCGTGCTTCTTCTCCCTATTCCCCCTCGGGGGAGGGCTTCCATCACGTTGGCGACGACACTCCGGCGTCGTTTTCCGACTAAAAACCTAAGAAAAATGTGTCTCGTAGTGCGGAGCCCGAGGCCTACAACAATAAACAGTCGGGGGCGCCCAAACACTGCCCCCTCTCCCCCCTCCTCTTGCTCCCCCTCTCTCCCCTTTGCCACCTATTTTAAACTCCATTTACAATACATTAATGCCCTACCCCGCCCTCCGCCCCGCCCCTGCCCTTCTTGGCGCGTCGTCAACAGGCGTAGTTTGTATTCCATCGACAGGAGGCGCCCCGGCGGCCGCCGGATCAGCCGCAGTTACTACTGAGTCGGCCTCGTGGCGGCTGAACGTGGCGAAGAAGGCCGTCCCGGAGGATGCGGTTGTCTTCGACGAGGCGGAGCAGCTATGGGCCCCGATGGAGGAAGTTTGATGCCTCTGGATCGGACTTGTGAATTGATTTTATTCATTATACTGTTGTAATGTGAAGGTTTGCACACTCGGGGAATGCTATCCTTGTTTGTTTTGAGTGGACAATTGAGTATGTAGTTCTAGATGACAACCTAGGTTTAGGTTGAACCATCATAGCACGTCCACGAACCTTCTTGCCAGTATAGAGTATCGGATGCGAGCAACAGGGACGGGGGTGGTGGGGTGGCCAGGAGGAGAGGGGCAAAAAAAGGATGTAATTAAACGGAATTAGTCGCGTTGCTGTATCGGGCGGGCGCGCCCTCCTCCGCCGGGGAGAGAGAGAGAGGGAGAGAGGGACTAAGGGAGGCGGCAGCGACGGCACCAGCCGCTTTTGCGTAAAATATAATCGGCAAGGTATTTAGGTAATTAGCGCCCCGGCGGGTCCCCGCGCTGCTGCCGCTGCTTGCCTTAATTAAGGCTGCGCTTGGAAAATGCGCCTCCTGCTACCTCTGCTACCCCCCCCCCCCTTCCCTCTCCGCCCTCGTAAGGGCGCAACGGCAAGGGGGGCTGCTCGCGTCTAGGAAATTAATCCATCTCCTAACACCCCGTTGCTGCAGCCCGTTTGTCGTCACCCTGTACACCCCCTCCCCACCAACCCCTCCTTTGCCCCCCAGCAGCGTCAGGTGCGATTAGAGTTATTCTTCCGACGCACGGAAAGGCCTTTGCTGCTGCAGCAGTGTTGGTAATTTCTCTCCTGGCTCCCCCCAAGCCTAATATCCCCCCCTGTCCCTTCACCTCCTCCAGGACAGGCT